TCTTTATATATGTCCAAACCAAATTCACCGTTTGAAAAAGTTTGGGCGTTGGGTATATGACATTCATTATAATAAAGGTTTTGTATTTCCCAATGATTGAAAAACAAAACGATATTGTTGTTTTTACTGACGTTTCGCTATTTAGTGCTAATGGCTTTATCACCCCTTAACTCCTTGTTATATATATGCTGAGATTTTTTAAAATTCTGGTTTAATAATACTTTGACAAAGCTATTGGCATTAACTAGAGAAATGTGAGTATAAACAATACCGGTTTGTTTTTCATTCAATGGGAAATACAAAAACCTTTATTATAATAAAGATTTCTTTGTTTGGTATAATTACGATTGCACAGCTTATGAAAAATGAATCGTCAAAAGGAAAATTTTCTTCGCTGTTTACGCCTTTTTCTTATGATATCGTCATTGGTTGATTTCTGTACATCTATGTGCTGCGCGTCGGTGGCACAGTGGTTAGTACTCTCGCCGACCATGCACATGGTCCAGGGTTCGAGCCCACGCCGACGCACACCTGATATCTATGGTTGGCCTGCGAAATTTGGGCTACCGATATCCACGGTGAAAATTCCACACTTGTACCAAAAATACGGTGTGGAATCAAGCTGCAATCAAAAATAAGTAAATAATATAAAACCTTTTGTATTTCCGAATATATAAAAAACAAAGCGATATCGTTGTTTATACCAACGTCTCACTATTTAATGCTAATAGCTTTATCAAACAAAGTATTATCAAACCAGTATTTACAAAATATCAGCTTATATAAATAGCAACTTAATCATCGTTTTTCAACATGAGGTAATTTTTAATATTGTTGTCAAGTTGGCCAATTGATAAAGGTAACAAACCTATGTGTACATTGTTGGATTTGATAGGCGTTTAAAATTCTAAAAACGGGATGTGTTTACATAATGAAATTGCTTACGACATTCGTTTTGGCTTTGTCATTCCATGAGGAAGGGGGTTGTGTTGTAACCAGGTCAAATTCTGTTTTAGTCCATCATTCCTATTCAGACAATTTGGATTCCACTTGACATGAAGTGCTTCTGATATTAGGCGTTCCTTGTGATCTTTGAGATGCTTTTTCTGGATGATGATTTCAATATTGTCAAAATCAATTTTACGGGTTGATCATGGATTGATATCAGTTAGAGAACCATTGAAAACCAGGGAGTACTGGACAGCTGCTGTTTCATCCTAGTTTGGGAATCATCGGAGGTACGCACCCGCTGGGATTCGAACCCGGGACCTTCCGGTTACAAGGCAAGCTCGTATACCATTCAGCCACTGGGACCCGATTCAATGGCTCGTGAATTCTAACTTCTACTAATTCGTGATTTAGCGTGTCCCCAATCCTTAGAAACCAAACTATAGAAAATCAATTTTGTGGCCTAATTCTATAGCGTGTGGATCTCTATGGCTGATGATTTTTCAAGCTTTTCTAGTCCACTAACTGGATTTCCCGGTGGTCGAACAGATGCTCTACGGTGTTCATTTCTTCTGATTTTGATCTATTTCTAGCGATGTTTGTCCGATGTATATCGCATCACATTCCAAGCATTTTATCTTATAGACTAGACACAATTAGATAGAGAATCTTTAGGGATTTGGTCTTTTATATGGACAAGATTGCTTGGTGGCATGTTTGATGTTTTGAAGAAAACTCTGACGTTGTGCTTTTGGAGTGCTCCTCTGATATGGTGTGAGGTCTTTGCTCTATATGGAACGACAACTGTTGAGTTCCATGTCTTAGGAATACGTTTTCGACTATATTCAATGTCAGTCTTGATTTTTTGTTGATGAAGTTTTTTGGATAGTTATTTTGCTTGAGTCAGTCTCAGTAATGTTTGATATTTCCTCTTCTTTTTCTTTCTCATCCGTTCTCATCAAAAGGTGTACTCGTCTAACAAGACTTAAAACAACTGATACTTTTGCGCCGATAGGGGCGGGTGATGATCCGAAGTCTAAATATTTTTTGGAGTGGGTTTTCTTCCTGAATGCAGATATGTCGAAATGTCCGTTTTCCCTCTTCTTCACTAAGCAGTCTAGAAATGGTAGGTAGTTCACCGACGTCTGATTCTGTTCCTGAAGTAAACTGGATTCTGGGAGATAGATTGTTTGTTTTCTCGAAGAATGCACTGCGTAGATCTTGTTTCAACACTACAAAGTACCGTCTACATATCTTAACCATATTTTAGGAGTGAGTATGTTTGAGAAGATGTTATCTTCGAATCTATTCATGAGAAGATCAGCGTTTATTGGGGTAACTGGTGAATCCATAGCTAATTTTGTGCGCTTATCAAGTCCAGCAATATACACCTGGTTTTGCTGCTTTTACCGATTGGTCGACTTGACAACAACAAAAAAATCACCTCTTGCTGATGAACGATGATCAAGTTGTTGCATATTAGCTGAGATTTTGTAAATTCCAGTTTGATAAAGCTCTTGGTTACTCAAGTGTTGGTTTGTGGGGATTTGATTGATCGGTCACAGGATTTCATCATGAGATGACATTGGTTAGAGAACCATTGAAAAACCTGGAAGTACTGGTCAGCTGTTCCGTCCTAGTTTGTGACTCTCCAGTACGCTCCCACCAGGGTTCGAACCCAGGACCTTCTGGCTACAAGGCGAGCTCGTAGACCACTAAGCCACTGGGACCCAACGCAATCCCCCATGAATTCTAACTTCTGCCAGTTCATGACATAGCGTGACCACAAGCCAATGTCTTCGGCGAGTATTTGTCCTCACACCCGACCTGTTGCCCCCTACTGGGCACGACTTTCCATTAGAACCCCAGGTAACTACCTACCTGAATAGGCCAAGTTGCCATTGAGCTCTTAGCAGTATTAAATCTTCAGACGTCAGTAAAAGCAACGGTATCGTTTTGTTTTTCATTCATTGGGACATACAGAATCTCTTATGCAATAATGCAAATCATATACCCAACGCCCAAAATTTTTCAAGCTGTTAAAGGCAAACTGGGTTTTTCAAATATATAACATAATAATTCGTTGGTTTTAAGTTTATTAACCTCTGTTTCCATTTTTCATGTTCCTAGTTGAATATAGGGCTTCAACATCACATCTCCATTTCTTCCTGTCGTACACAGTCATTTTTAACCGTATCCACACACAATCACCTGAAAATTACTGTCGAACCCGACGCCCAACTTGCCGTTTCCCATTCGAGTTCATCGCTAAAGCTCGGCGAGTGATGACGTCACTCAACGGTCCCTTCAGCGTTTGTTCAATCGGCCGATCGATCCATTTCCTATTGTTTGGTTCGTTTCGAGAGTTTCATGTTGCTAACGTTTTCTGTCCGGCCGTTTGTTTTTCAGTAGGAAGCGAAGGTATCCTTTTTATTGGAAGTGTAGAGCAGGCTGTTGGAAATAGTTTTGGTGAGGCACGCGCCGTATCTCTGAACTATACAGAAGCACTAACTGATTTGACATTAGTATGCTCACGCCATTATTGCGAAGTGTTTGGTGAGAAGGAAAGGTACCTACCGATTAGGTAGACGAAAGGCTACCAAAGAAGGGTGACTAGCATCTCTGAAAAAACTGGCGTACAATCATATTCTTGTCCACGCCAAGTAAAATACAATGTCGTATCATCCTGGAGAGAATAAAAGATGCACTGGATACAGAACTACACACGCCGGAACAAGCTGGATTCAGGAAAAGCAAATGATGTGCTGATCAAATTGCTACTCTACGTATCATTATCACAGAACAAAGCATAGAATGACAGTCAAACCTTTACCTCAACTTTATGGACTTCGAAAAGGCCGTTGATAGCCTAGCGTTGACCGAGAAGTACTTTGGAAACTGCCTGAACACTATGATTTACAATGCTCAGGTCTTTATCAACCTCATTCAACACCTGGCTATATGATAATGCCTCGTGTAAGTCAGGCGATCCATAAGGGAAAACTCGGAAAGACATTCGAAGTGAATACAGGAGTGAAACAAGGCTGTCCACCTGCCTGTTATCACCGATGATGGTATTCTCAATTTTAGTGAACTGGATTATGCGTCACACTGTGCGAGAGGAGTGAGAAGACAGGAACACGCTACACTGAACGATGATAAGATGGTTGGAGTGACGAGGCAGCCAGCGAAGACACTACTCCAAGTGAACACAGAGAAGACGGAGGTGATGAAGATATCCACCAACCAACAGCAACAGCACCAATCACCATAAATGAAAGAGATTTGACAGAGGTTACTTCCTTTAATTATCCAATTAGGAAGCATGGTTTCTACCACAGGCCGGTGGAACAGATGAAGATGTCACAGCCAGTCAGCCAGAATCAGATAGGCCAAGCTTCATCACTTGATGAAACCAGTTTGGAAATCTTCTACACTCAGTCAGTATAAGGAACACGATTCAGATTTTCAACACCAATGTGAAGTCATCCAGTCACTGCTTCTATAGTGGTCAGAAACGCTATCAGTGTGTCAAGAAAAAGATTTTCAACAGGTTTCAGATTTTCATTAACAGCTTCCCTCCTCACCGACTCCATATATCGAAGACCAAAAGGCCGGTCAGAAAGAATTAGCAGCATGAAACTTTGGCGATGAACAAACCAACCCAGAGCCAATTGCTCAATATATATATATATATGTTGGAGTAAAATGGAGATGGGTAGGAGGACACATACTGAGGAGGCTGTCAAATAACATCGCGCGCAATGTAGGCCATCGTTCAAGTGGTAGAATCCGAATGGGAAGTGACGAATGGGTCGTCTGCGCGAGTGTGACATAGAGAAGGTAGTGTTAGGAAGGGATGAGAGGTTATGGACAATCGTGTGGATCCATATGAAGAGGATGGCAGAAAATAGGATAAAGTGGAGATGTATTGTTCAAGCCCGTATGTTCCACTCGGAACCCGAGAGAATGATAATAATATATATATAATGTACATCTATGTATTTTATTTTCTAAAAATTCTGTTTTTACTTTTTCTTTCTCCCTGTTAGATACTGAAAGGTATAAAACATTTTTGGAAGCATAAAAATGATGAAGATAAAGAAAGTGTACTATTACAAAATTCTATTCTCTTTTCACATCCAACATTTTTATTATTATTACATGTTTGTTTACCTGATGCTGATTTTGTAGTTGATTCATTATATGAACAAATTGAGTATTTTGTATTGAATGCACGTGATATCGCTGATCGTGTACCAGATAATTTGCATACACGTCAAATTGTTCAACAATGCTTAAAATATCGTTTAATATTAGCTGGACAAAAATTCAAGTATATTCAATCTGATTTAGATATGTGTACACGTTGGGCAACTCTATTGGCTCAGTTAATTAGTCATGGTGTTACAGAGCCTGAATCTAATTGTTCCCTATTCTATATGATATATGATATGCTTCAAATGTTAATACATTCACTGGCAGCACGTTCTGGCATTGAAGGAAAACATTATCAAGCTGTAGCGAAAAAAATACGTCGTGAATTATCTGAACGTCCACCATGTTCAGGCATAGAATATATTCGTCCATTATTGTTATTAACGAAAGGTGCATATACAATCTATGTTACTGGCCAATCACGTCAATCTACTCGTGGTGGTTCGTCGTCGAATTCAACAGGTAGTGGATCCTTAGGTGGTGGTGGTGGTGCTGGCGGTGGCGGTTGTGGGGGTACAGGCGGCGGTTCAATCGGTAAAATGGGTGGTAAAGGCGGTGGTTCAGCTGGAAGTGGTAGTGGCGGTAAATCAAGTAGCTCAAAAGGCGCCGGTGGTAAATCTACTGGACATAGCCTACTGGCAGGAGGAGGTGGAGGATTTTTAACCTCTAGTTCTACTGGTTCAGGGCATCATTCTAGTCATTCTGGTGGTCGAAATCAACAGAATAAAAAACGTGGTTATATGCTTTTGGGGAAAGAGAGGTTTACACCATGGGAAATCTATGATCCGAGTAAACAGCCATTACTTTTATCTATACATGGTGCAGTACACACAGAAGCGGTGTTGTCACGGGTTGAAGAACAGGCGAATCGTTTAATACGTCATGAACACTTTTATAGAATATCTCGTCCTCGGGATTTTTATATGGTGCCTGTTTATCCAGAGACGCTAGAAAAGAGTAATGCTACTGGCGTTGGTGTTGGTGTCGCTGACAGCAAACAGTCAGATATTGGTGAACATGAGAATGCAAATATTATGAGAACAATAAAAACAGAGAATCTTAGCATTGATAGCAACACTACTAATAACAATGCTGTTATCAACAATATATTTAGTAGTAGTAATAATAATAGTAATAGTGGCAGTAATCCTGTCAATTCATTGGGTGGAGAGTCACAGATGCTATCACTGAATGATATTGTACAAATGCCGGAGACAAATTTATCGGAATGTCAAAATCAATTTATGCAACTTCGTAATTCAATTAATAATAATAACAATAATATTAATAATGCTACTGTCATTAGTAGCAGTAATAGTAACACTAGTGGTGGTATTCTCTACGATCAAAAGCATAATCCTTCTACTATGCCGTGTCATTCGACTAATCTGCCAATGTTCAATGATACAGGTAAGCCTGTTAATCAAATAGATTCTGAACTTAATCCTATGATGATTATGTCATCATTGTCGTCATCACCGTCTTGTACTAACACTATTACTCATGGTGGGGGTGGGGGTGGTGCTGTTGGTCCTGCTGGTTCTGGTAATATCCAATTGATGCATGGAAAAATGACGAATTCAAGAAATGATAATGAACTTGTTGACAAATTATCAATAAACAATCAAATGATGCTGAATACATTTAAGTCGTCGGTAGCATCGGTAGCGGCAGGGGGAGTTTTGACATCTAGCACTGGTCTACCGTCGTCTAATTCACACATACATCAGCAACAACTTTATTCTCATCATTTGCCAAATCACCAACAACACCAGCAACAACAGGTACTTGTGAATTCAGATCCAAGCCTTTCATCAGGTCGTAAACTTCAGCCACAACAGAATCTTATGAATGAATATGCTAGTTTAAATGAACTAGACCAAAGGCCTATAGGTATAAGTCATCCAGGGCATATGAACACAATTAACTATCCTCCTACGCATCATAGTCATGGTCATCATGGTCACCCATTAGAGATGAATATGCATAAAGGTAATAAAATGATAAATATGGAGTATAATGAACGAATGCTACCATCTCAGTCGTTGACAGTATCTCAACAACAACACATCCAACCACCGCCATCAGTTGCCCCGTTGCCACCGTCGAATGCGACTATTTTACACCCACCGATAAGTAGTAATACAGCAATACATGTCCCAGCACCACCACCGACAACAACAACTACTACTACAACGACAACAACGAAACGTAAACGTGGATCTGGTCGTCGTGGTGGCGGTGGAAGTCTGGCTTCATCACGGTCTACTACTGGTGGAAACACTACACGCGGTGGTTTGCATGGTAATCCTGGCGGTCCAATGAATGTAAGCTATGAACGTGTTGTTGGCAATAATCCTTCAGTAAATCTATACGCGTATAATGTGAATAATTCAGAACAACAATTAAGTGATTCATCAAATCATCAATGGAGTGGTAAACAAAATGTTTTTAATATGAATTTACTTGATATACAATCACAACAACATCACCATCAACAACAACAACAACAAAGTCATGTACAACAGTCATCCTCGTCTACACGTGGTCAACACCAACAGCAACAACATCTGGCTAATTTAAGTGGCTTCTTACGTAATCGTGCTCAACAGCAACAGCAACAACAACACCAGCAACATCATCTTGGACAATCCTATGGTGGTTCAAGTTTCAATCCAAGTAATCCACTACCTATGCCCCATTCAAGTCATATGTTTGACCAATCTCAGTTAAGCGGTCAATTCAATCCGGCAAATAGTCATCTGGTTGAAGCGCCTACTGCCTCAATGCGGCGAAATATAACTACTAGCGGAAGTGGGGGTGGTAATATTTCTCGGTCTATACAACAGTCGAATCAACAACCACCACCTCATCAAATTATTGGTCATACTAATACTACTAATACTAGTTCCGCTACTCCAGGTCCATTACAACAAATTCCACAAGGGATACCGCCTAATCCCCCACCTTATCCACTGTCATCTTCTAATCAACCGCAACAGCACGCATTTCGTATTCCATCTGACGATGCCTATAATATAATGAATGTGAATGATGTAGGTATTGATGAACAGTATAGACGACAGACATTGAATCCTGTAATGAATACTATGCACCACCAGCAACAGCAACAACAGCAGCCGCCGCCGCACCATCATCATCATAATCAGTCGAGTACAGTGTTGTCATCACGTGTACAAGGTGCTGGTGGTGGCGGTTATGATTCATCATCAGGAGGTCAAATGCAAACCGATGTACAACATTTATCCTATATGCCAGTACAGGCTGATTCACAAATGAATACTCAGTCAAGATTACACGCCTCACGTGTCATGTCATCATCCCAACAACAATCAGGGCAATTGATGCGACCTGATATGATGATTGCCTCAACAGTTATTGAGACTGGTGTTGTTGGTGGTATCGGCGGCAATATCCCATTGTCTAGTAGTAATAACAATAATAGTGCTCAATTATCACAACATGTACAGAATATACCTCATTCCTCATATCCACGGTATACTGGATATTAATTATATCACCTTTTCTCTATGTACAGAACTTTGCCCTTTTGTAAAGAAAAAAAAGAAAAGCAAAGCAAATATTGTTTCACTGAGTTTCTTTCTTCTTATTTACTTTTAATTCATATGGAGCGCGCGGGGGGCAGGGTGGCGGAGGAGGAGTTATTTTTGTAGTCTTTTTTCTTTTTTTTGGCATTTTTTATTCTTCTTATTTTCGTGTTATCGAGAAATTGGTTAAAGAAAAGAATATATATATATATGCAAATAAAATTTCCAATATGTATAATTTATTTACTTTTGCTCTTTCAAATATAACTTATATATATCATCCACTAGGCATTGAATGAATGAATGAGTCATAGACTATGAGAGTTAGTCATTCATTTTTACTTAGTTGCTTAAAGCCAACAAGATGGATAGGTATCCGAATATTTATTGGTAAGTCAAGTGTTTACATCCCTACAAACCAGCAATTGAAAATTGATCTGATGCCCACTAGCGACTGGCTCTATTCAGGTAAGCAGTTACCCCTGGGGGTTCTAGTGGGAAGCAGTGACCACTAGGTTAGAGCAGGTCGAAGGTGGTTACTCATCGAAGACATTACTAAGTGGTCGCGCTATGTCATGAACTGGCTATAAAGTTACATAGATTGAGGTGGCTAGGTCACGTGCTGCGCATGCCTCCCCCGACGGGCATTACTAGCTGATATAGGTGCAGGTTGGAAAAGAGTAAGTGGTGACCAAACAAAAACATGGCCTCATCAATCCATGAAATCCTTGACAGTTAAACTGAGTCGTCAGGTAGGGAGATGCAGACTTCCGGGTTGGGGCCCTCGGGACTCTAGGAGTCAATGGCTGGAGACAATAGGTGACATGGTTCAAAATCGTTGTCAGTGAAGCAGATGTATTCAGTCTCTGTAATCTTTCATATTCCTTTCTACCATTACCCATTCTGTTTCACTCTTATACTTGTCAAACTCTATTGATTCTCTTCACTCATCTTCTTGTCTACCTTTGTGTACTATTTCGGAACGTGGCAACTGGAACTGGTGCACTTCGGTGCCAAGTTCTATGTTGAATCCAGACAGACAGAAGTTAGAATTCATGGGCCATTGGATGAGGTCCCGGCGGCTTTATGGTTTACGGGTTCATTAACCTTGTAACCAAAAGGTCCTGGGTTCGAACCTTGGTGGTGGGTGCATATTGTGAATAGTCCCAAACTAGGACGAAACAACTGTTCAGTACTCCCAGGTTTTCCAATGGTTCTCTAACCGATGTCAGCTCATGATTAAATCCTCCAACCGATCAAACAAAATCTCTACAAACCAATAATTGGAAATAATAGTACTATAATTATGAATGAAATATACTTAGCGAAATGTTGTGATATTCACTGGGATATCTGGCAAGCTTCTAGGTAAGGGGTTGAGAAAGATTTACTTGATTAGTAGGCTAAGGAGATAGTTTAGGGTTAGACTGACATAATAAGCGGGATGCTAGGCTTAATTCGTCTTTGATTAGGGCCAATGTAGGAATAGTTTCGCGTTAGGATTAGAAGATTTAGATGAATAAATGTATAGAATGTGGTTTAATTACTCTATTGACACTTCGCTGCAAAACTTGGAGACATTTTTTTGGCATGTCAGACAAGCGTATTCTGTGTAACAGCTTTATAACATTTTATTCATTATTTTAATTAATGTATGTACTTTTTGAAGTGATCGGTGGTTCGATGCTTAAAGTTCACCTTTGCGATAGATGGGTATATCTGTTAACTGTAGCACTCCTGACTGACTTAGTTGCACAGGAGTGCGATCAGTTCAAGAATAATTACATGGAGCTTACAAAGACATCATGCATGTATGCCAATCAAAACAGCTTTGAGCCGTATTACGAAGTTTTCAGTTATTGTTTGTTAGTACCTGAATGACTCCAGCCAATCAGTCTACACCTCCCTAAGTGGCTCAAAACAACAATGAAAGACTTTATGCATTGATGTCACATTCTAGTTTGACCACCGACTGTAATTCTTTTGCAGGTTAATCTTGTGTCAGCTAACATTGCTCATTGATGAAAACTTTTGTTTGGAATGCATTAAAGTTAACTGCACTCATTCGTAAAACCATAATGATACCTCACATAGTAATTAATTGGATGGTGACTAGCAGGGGAATCCAGAATGCACATTTCGTCCTATTTAAGACTACTCAGCTGAATGTACTTGCACTCCGCAGTGAGTGATGGTGTTTGAAACGATGGGTACTGGGTTCGAGCCTCAGTGGGAACACCACCACTCACTATCCACCAAATTATCACAAGTTAATCCTCAGAAATCTTTGAAGCGTCGAGTGCCGCCATATTAACAGAGGCCGGACATTTTGGTTTAATCAATCAACGCGAAAGTCAAAAGTGAATTTTAAAAAATGATTTCTAATATGTTCAAAAATTCACATAAGTTACTGCTCATTGATCTAGGCGTTCGACTTCCAATCATTAGGTCATGGGTTCGAACTCGGCTTCATCTACCGAGATTTGGGCAGCTAGGTAGTATCGCTAACCTTCACACAATAGGCGTGACTTCATTGCCAAGTGTATAGTATTATCAGTGTTTGTTTTCTTTTTTGTTCTTTCACGTTCCCAGTGGAACATAGGGCTTCAAGCTAGAGGCTTGAAGTTACTGTAGCAGTGTTTATTTTAACAGGATGGGGTTGCTAGCCTCTTGCCCAGCCCTACCTCTTTACCAGTCTTACTACTGGCTTAGCGAGGTGAAGGAATGCGTCAGCCGGGTTTCGAACCCCGAACTATGTGCATGGTCGGTGAACGTCGTAACCGCTGTGCCACCGACGAACTCAGTGGTTGTTGAGTAGTAGCATTTATTCTGCCAAAATTTACAGTTAGGGGCGCTAGATATTTTGGGTTTGCATTCACCTTGATGCTTCATCTTCGAATAAAACAATTGTATACGGAGGTCTGTTATTATTATTATTTCCTTTAACTCCTAGAGGAACATAGGGCTTCAGCCGAACGTCTCCATTGCGCTCGGTTCTCTGCTAGAGTTTTCACCCCGCTCCAAGTCTCCTCACACGTTTTCATCTCCTCTTCACATGACCTCCTCCAAGTCACCCTCACATTGACGACCAACTCGCCGCTTCCCTTTCAGGTTCCACTCAAGCAACGGCTTGTCTAGTGATGTCACTTGATGGTTTGTTTCCTCAGAGTATGGCCAGCCAATCCATCTCCATTTCTTTCTGCCCATTTGTTGCACAATCGGTTCCTATTGGGTTGGCTCGTTCATTGCCAAAGATCCCTGTTGCTGATCTTTTCTGGCCGGCCATCTGATCTTGAGTATTGAGCGAAGACAACTGTTAATGAAGGTTTGAAGTTTGTTTGAGATGCTCTTTATGACGCGCCAAGTCTCTGATCTGTGTGTTAAGTACCACTGACTTCACATATGAGTTGAAAATCCGGATTTTATTTTCATTTTCATGCTGAGTGCTGTTGACCTCCACACTGACTTAGGAGTAATGAAAGCTTGTCTAGCTTTTCCGATTCTGGCTTTGATATCCTCGTCAGTTCCGTTCGCCTGTAGTTGAAACGATGCTTCCCAGGTAGGTGAAGGAGGTTGTTTCTTTCAGGTTCCTCCCATTTATGCTGGCTGATTGTTGTCTGTTGTTGTTGGCCAGAAAAAGTGAATACGGAGGTCTGTTTCATAGTTAAAGCTGTCCTATTTATTGCATTTATTAAAACACAAACTTAGTACATTATGGGCACCAAGAGATGTATCGCACAAAATCTCATAGTTTATGCGATGCCTGGGATACTGCTCGGTCGCCTGGATCTATAGCAGGTTGCTGTCTTAATGGGCCACCTACTGTTGAGCCTTTGACTTGAAGCCTGACCCACAAAACATCGGAATAACATCATGATTTCTGGTGACCAAAATAGGTTTGTACACCATAGGTTTGGCATCATGGTTATCTAGCTATCCTATGTAGATATGGATGCCTACCAGTCTGGTTGCAAGCGCCAGACGTTTGGCTCCGGCCTTTCACTTTTGTAAGGAACACTCCCTCTGTGTGTGAGGGCAGTGATTAGGACTTACATGTCAGAGGCTATAGACGCGTACTTACTTGACAACCTCTCGAAAAGAAGACCGAAGTCTACCCATCCTTGGCTGTACCAGGTTGCTTATTGGTACAATTAAAGTCATTCAAGATAACATAATTTAAAATACTTTAAGGTTGGCTCTAGTCGATGTTTGTAACTGGGTAAATTTCACATTTCTGCAATAATCTAAGAGCATATAGACAAGTCAGACATTATGATTATGACAGTAATGAGTAGGTTCTGTTACACAACCTTTTCCACAAGTTCCACGCTAAGTTAGTTGTCGTTGGGATTTTATGCACAAGCATATAAACGTATGGAATTACTTTCTGCTCCTCTTGAAACGGTATAAAGAAAAACAGTATGAATAAAGAGGAAGTCAAGTATCCGATGTAAAGTGGTTGTAACAGGTAACTTAGTAACACTGCTTGAAGTCGTGTGTAATATAACATGGTCTTCTTTTTCAGACACTTCAGGATAGCAAAAATATTCATTCAGCCATCTATGAAACACAAAATAATTGAGCAAAGTATGTCTTTTTCGATAAATTCCTCTTCTGGCTCTACAATTTTATATATGTTGATATACATAGAATATTCTAGAATAGTAGTCAATAACAATATTAGTGTTTTTCAAATAATATCGATTTGTAAAGTAAGATCAATGCAATTATAGCTCATTCATTAAAGTTGCTTAAATTATAATTATAACAAAGATATAGTAGTAAACAGAATATCAACTAAAATAGGGAAAATTCCGAAAAAAATTCCGGATCATTCAAACCTAGATGGCCAAGGTAAGGAAAATGTCAAAACTAACTTCTTTTGGACGCACAAATTAGGCTTGTTAATATGGCTTCCCATAGCCTCAGCAATATTTAGTAGTCGAACTCTTAAGGTAAAATTGAGATTCGTTGGTATGCTGTAAATGACACTGAAAGCATGGTTAACGTTAATCTTGTGTTCTATATCCGCAAGATGAGATAGAATAGCGCTATGTGAATAGATTTTGTTTGTCCTTTGCTTAACCACGTAGGGTGATGTTCGGAAGTTTCAACGAGAAACACGCTTAATTGTACGGCCTATGTAACTGGCTCACTCCACGGGAGCAGTTAAATTGGTAGGTACACATGGAAGAGGCGAAATTAGGCAGTTTGTCTTTTACCTCCGAACGCAAAA